TAAATTCATCAAATGAGATCATTTGCAAGTTTTAATTATTTTGCATTCATGAAAATTAGATAACTAGTGTGCTTAATATTATAGTAGTTTGAAGTATCTTACCCTCAATCAGGAATTGAGGCCTTTTACCTTATTGAAGTGAAGCATAAGTCTCGAAGCGAATTGACGTATGCCTCAAGCTTAAAGGAAAAAAATATTCAAAGTTTTTAAAACTCATATATATATATATATATATATATTTCAATGGTGAAATCGATAGTTGGTCCAGTGGGCACCAAATATTGATTCCCCCACATGGGTTGAAAATTCGGTGTGCTTGATTCTGATTCGAAGAGCCCGCGTCACGGGATTCGAACCCCTGACCCGAGGGACTTATGCCAAAGGTCGCACCAATGAGCTAGGTATTTCGCGCGCGCGCGCGCACATACACACACATATATATATATATATATATATAATTTTTCTCTCTTGTTATGTCTGAATCTTTTCAATATTTTGCAGCTGATATCTCTTGATATGGGTGCTCTAGTTGCTGGGAGAATGTACCGAGGTGAGTTTGAAGCATAAACTATCAATAGTTAAAAGGATTAAAACTTAAATGCTAAAAGAAAAATTAACTAATTAAAATAAAAGGAAAGATAAGTTAAAAACATACTAAAAATAGTTAAAACGAAGAGGGAAAAAATATTTGAAAGAGAATAAAAAAAATAGTTAAGATAAATGAAAAAAACAAAAATAAAATAAAATAAATTAAAATATAATAAAAAAATACCTTAAAAGAAAAAGAAAAAAAATTAATCAAAGTAAAATATTTGTTGAAAAGGTAAAAAAATGAAAAAATAAAAGAAAATAAGACTTAAACCCTCTTTCATCAAATTGGTCTAAACTCTTAGAGTTTGACATTAATTTTGCTTATTGATTTATTTATTTTATGTTTTTATTTCGTTTTTAAAAACAATTAAAATAACTTAGATATTTTAATTGTTTTAGGAAACAATTATATTTCATTTTAACAAACCAAATTTATTTTATTTCAAATTAAAATTTAGACAAAATAAAAAAAAAACAAAAAAATATAAAACCGAAAAATAACCATTTCCAAACGACACCTAAACCTTAAACTTTAAACTCTATTATACGTAAGTTAGAAGTATATTTTTAAATAAATTTTAATTCGAGATTTTGACCTTATGCCCCTTAAGGTATATTGCCTTGAGGCATTCACCTTAAATGACAAGGGCATAAGTTTCACTCAGCCCAAAAACATTGTAAACCGAGAGAGAGAGAGGAAGAGAGAGAGAGGTTGCATTTGGAATATTCTTTTAAATAAGGTTTCTTCATATTATGTTTGTGCTCAATTGTAATTGCATTACTCTCAAGTAATTTAAAAATTACTAATGTAATCATACTCATTTTACATTAAAATTTTTTACATTATTTATTATGTGACTAATCTTAAACATGTAATTACCATTAAACACAAGCACAATATCATGAACATGATAAGGGCAAGAAAATTGAAGTTATTTTTGTGCTAATCACACTAGATGTCTAGTTTTCATAAATGCAAAGAAAAAATAAGAAAATATGATGATTTAATCTGTTATGGATTTTTTGGTTGCCAGTAATGAAGTGTGGACAGGTTGCATATCATGAACATCATAAAGGCAAGAAGATTCAAGCTATTTTTAATTTTAATCACACTAAATGTCTAATTTTCATAATGCAAAGAAGAAATAAGAAAATTGAATGATTTATTATGTGATTGATTTTTAAGTAACCAGTGGGGAAGTGTGGATGGGTCGAAGTTGTGCTCAATTGTAATTGAATGTTCCTTTTTATTTACTCTCAAGTAATTTAATTATCATTATTGTAATCATATTCATCTTAAATTAAAATTTTTTACATTATTTTTATGTTAATCACACTGCCATTGCTGAGTGATAATCCTTCTTATGGATAAAACTAGAGAAAGTATTAAAAAAAAAACTTGAATTGTGGATGTCTACATTAGAGTCTAAAGGCCTTCGTTTGAGTAGATCTAAAATCGAATACATGGAATGTAATTTAGCAGTAGTAGATCTTTAGCAGTAGTAGATCTAGTGGCAGAGCTGTAAATATGGGTGATCAGATCATTAAAATGTGTGAACGTTTTAGATATCTCGGATCTATTGTTCAAAGTGATAGTGATATAGATGGGGATGTTATTAATAGAATTCAAGTTAGTTGGTTGAAGTGGATGAATGCATCAATCAGGTTTATTGTCAGGTTTATTGTGTGATAAAAAAAATACCGCTTAGGCTTGAAAGAAATTTTTATTAGATGGTGGTGAGACCCGCAATCGAGTAGATCTAAAACTGAATACATAGAACGTAATTTTAGTAATAACAGATATAGTGACGAGTTGTAATTATGAGTGATCAAATCATTAAAAGGTGTCAACATTTTAGATATTTGGGGCCTATTGTTCAAAGTGATGGTGATATAGATGGGGACGTTTTTAGTAGAATTCGATTGTTTGGTTGAATTGGAGGAATGCATCGGGCCTATTGTGTGATAGAAGAGTGCTGCTTAGACTTGAAGGAAAATTTTATAAGATGGTGGTAAGATCTGCAATGCTTTAATGTGAAAAAGTTGGTCTTTAAAAGTTAAGCATAAAACTAAGTTAAATGTACTGCGATGAGAATGCTTAAGTGGATGTGTGGCTTAACACTTAGAGACAAAAGGCAAATTGAATGTATTCGTGAAAGGGTTGGTGTAGCTCTAGTTGCAGACAAGATTAGAGAGAGTTGTCTTATGTGGTCTGGTCACAGTAAACATTGATCATCTGACGATCTAGTTCAAAGAGTAGATATTTTAGATTCAACTTATGTTAAAAACAGTAGAGGTATATCTAAAAAATGATCTTAATTTATTAGAATAAAATGAAAATATGATACTCAATAGGATATAATGGAGAAAAAGGATATAATGGAGAAAAAGGATTCATGGTAGCCAATCCCACTTAGTGGGATAAAGGCTTGTTGTTGTTGTTGTACACTAGATGTCTAATTTTCATAAATGCAAAAGACGAAATAAGAAAATTGAATGATTTAATCTTTGATGGATTTTAGGCCAGCAGTGGCGAACTGTGGATGGGTTGAAGTTCACCTCTACAAATGATCCATTATTGCTAAGATTTCATTCCCTTTTGTAAGAGATTATACAAGTTTTGTGAACTCACTCGTAAGTACTTTTTGAGCAGAGAGTTGAAGCAAACAAAAAGAATAGAAAAAAGAGAAAAGTTTCATTAAAAGATTTAGTGTTTAGCATTATAAGAACTACTTATTTATAGAAATAAAAAAAGTGATCATACTATATAAATCTTTCTCCATTGTCAAGCCGACCGGAAATACTTCGACCTCATATCATCAATACATCTACCATCATTATTATACCTACCATAACATTTATTATCATTACTACATCGACCCCATCATCATATTTATCATCAATCCTAATAACATGAAATTGCTTTCATAGGTTATGATATTAGAAATAACTCAACATATACAAGCTCAAAGGATAATATCATGATACAAAGATCCAAAAATATATAACGCATATAAACCCAAAACATATCATCATGACTCAAAAACTTATCAACATAAGTTTTCACAATAAAATAAGATATTTCTAGCAAATAAGTTTAAACTTTAGAATGACACTAATGACAATGATATTCTGCATCAATATTGGTGGAAAATGTCTTTTGCAGTTCGGCTAGTGGATGCAAAGTTTTTAAGTGGAAAGTTACTTTGGATCTTTCTTAGGTGATATGCATATGACAAATTAGTGCATATATATTGGTATTCAGTTTGTGAAGTGACTGAGAAGGTTAATGACCCTTTTGATTGTTGAGAACTGTCTCTGTTACCTCTTGGTGTTGCCGCTTGCCAAATTGCTGTTTTAGTTTTTAAACATTAATTGGGAAAGGTGAGACTTAAATTGATGCCTATCGATTACTACAGGGCAAAACTTATGGCAACTGTGATTAGAGGAGGGGGAGCAGCTGATCATTGGCAATTAAGTTGCTTTGTATCCTGTGTTTCAGCTGTCTTTTTCTAATTTAATACTGGGTTATTGTGACGGCCCTAATTTTTCTTATTTGATTAGGAAAGCATACAATAATTTAAGATCAAAACCTTCAAAGATTCAGTACATTCATGGCCTTTTGTTTGACTCGACATTTATTATAATATTCAGTTGAATAGCTTTGCGAACATGCTGGACACTATGGGCGATTGCTTATAACTTAGTCTAGGTTATGATTTTCTTTTGGTTGCATTTCAGTTTTGTCATGTGCTAGCAACTCTTCCAATGCTGCTCAGATTAAAGAATAGGCACAGTTTCTTTTCAAACTCACGATCACTGTTATTTCTCTTCCACTTCCGAATTTTTAGTTTACTTAAAATCTGTGATAACTCATTGATTGTGTCATGTCATTGATTGCTTCTAACTTAGTGTAGGTTATGATTCTCTTTTTGTTGCATTTCAGTTTTGTTAGGTGCTAGCAGCTCTTCCAATGCTGCTCAGATTAAAGAATAGACACAGCATCTTTTCAAACTCACGATCATTGTTATTTCTCTTTCACTTCTGAATTTTTAGCTTACTTAAAATCTGTGATAGCTCATCGATTGTGTCATGTTGTGGGATTTGGGTATCCATGGTTTGCTTGTTTAGTTATTTCTTGATTTTCACTTCTTTTTAATTAATTTCTCAGTCGATTGCCCAACTCCATTTAAATTTATATTAGTATCTGTTTTCTTTGCAGTCTCTCTCCAAATTTTAGTTGCTTGTTGTAGTCTTCACATACTATCTGAACTTGCTATTTTCCAGGAGCAAAAATGAGCATACTGATTCAATTTTACTTGTGCATTCTCTTAATTTTAGAAATCGTGTCTATAGACTCTTTTTTTGATGCATGTATTTTTTAAAACACGGCATTGTGTTATCCATAGGTTCAAAATTCTCTCAACATCAAGTATAATGGAACAATTCAAGGCTTGAAATATATTTGGAGAACCGAGGGTGTCCGTGGCTTATTTAAAGGAAATGGTACAAACTGTGCACGTATTATTCCAAATTCAGCTGTAAAGTTCTTCAGCTATGAGCAGGCATCCAGGTTAATATCTATGCTTTTAAGCTTTTCAATGAGAAGATGCATGTGATTCTAATAGTTAGTAATGCTAGCTTTAGGCAGCGGATTGTTTGCATGTCTTGGAAAAATAGGTTTATGCTAATTTCCAACTAAAATTTAAAACTGGATATTAATAAAGCCGTTAGACTAATATGGGATGTTAAATTTAGGAGATAGTCTTACTGAAGGGGCAGATTCTATCAGTAGATATCAGCACACCTTTTGCTGGTGATGAGAATTTTCTCACTTTTGTATGCGCACCTAGAAATCTATTTTTCTGCACTCATTTATGTTTTTTGCTATGTGCAGAGGGATTCTGTGGCTTTACCGGCAGCAAACTGGCAACGGTATGTCCTTTAACTAATTCGTAGCATTGAAGTATTATTTACCGCATAACATGTCATAATGTGTGGCGTACTTATTTCACTGGATTTTGGGAGAAGTATGTTTCTTAAAGATTTTATATTGGAAAATTTGAGGTTCTTTTTATAATAAAGTAATGCCTTTCATTTCTCAGCAACCAATATATCTTTTTTTGAGAGTTATGGTTTAAGCATGGAAATGGGAGCAAATATTATTTAATCCCTAATTGATTGATCTAATTATCATTTAAAACAAATAAGAATTTTCTTTGATCTCCAATCAAGTTAATTAATTGTCCAACTTTAATGATTAATTAAAATATGTACCTTTTTTAATAGCCTAATCAATTCTTCTTTAGAAATTTTTTATTAAGTAGCCGAATTTATTATCATATTTAATTATTAATTCGTAGTAAATCTAAATAATTTATTTTTAACTTGCCTTCAAAGTTGATTTGTTATTATTTTATTATTATCATATTCTGAAGTGAATTTAAAGGGAATTTTCAACCTCCTATGATTAAACTGGTTCTGAGTTTTATGAGCAGAGTTTCAGAAACAGGGGCTTTTTTTTTTTTGGCGGATTTACATGCATGCCACAGAATTCTTCACAATTTACAGATCTAACACCTAAAATTTGTTTTTTACGCGCCTACCACCCAAAACTATGAGACACATGAAATATACTACTCGGCGGTAACTTCGTATAATAAAAACACTAGCCAGTCTTCTTTCTCGTCAAGCTCTTCGACGGAGATGGAACTAAGTTGTCGAAAAGATTTAACTCTTCCCTCAACAAAGAATCATCCACCGCCATCCCTTCCCTCTCTGCAACAAAATGAGGAGAAACTGCTTCCTTCCATAAAACGTCGAGCAAATCAACTTGTAACCCTTCTCTTCTCAATTACCTTTCCCTTCTCAGCTCGGTTGCAGCACGGAGCACCTACCTAGAAGCTTTGAGAACTTTGTTGGAGGCAAATATGTCATGAGGCATACCGGTGTGGAAGATCTCTAAAACCTTGTGATAGAGAAAGCAGGAATCAGAGTCGTCAGGGAAGCTGGTTTGCATGGGCTTAACATAGACGCTGTGAGAATGCTCTGAAGATAAATTTGGATTCAAGAGATCAAGTTCTGAGGCAGGAAATGAAAGCACATAGATGAATTTGTGTTGGAGAAGAAATGGCAAATAGCAGCGGCGAAGGAAGAAATTTGGGCGAAGAGGAATGTGCAACATCCTCGTATGGTCGCAACGGAGGTCCGTCTCCGTCGAGGATCTTGATGAGGAAGATAACGTGCTAGTATTTCTATTTAATGGAGTTACAGCTTGGTGGTATATGTGATTTGTTTCAAAATTTTTGGTGGTTGGCGCGTGAAAAATAAAACTTTTTGTGTTAGTATGTAAATTATTAATAATTCATTGGTATGTATGTAAATCTCCCATTCTTTTTGTACTATACAAATTGTTGATCTCAATTCCACAAATTCGTGAACTCAATTCTAAAGCAAATTGTCCCTAAGTGCAACCCTTTTTATAATTGCATATTTAATATACCTCTATAAATATAATGGAAAAGTTATTTATTAAAAGCATATTAGTTCAACTTGTCCAAAAAATGTGTTATTATTAATGCTTATTTAAATGACATAATGATAACTAAAGTTGAAACGGGGGAAGAAGTGACCTGATGAGCACTAATAGCCATGTCGTGTCTAAATAGGAGCTGTAACTTTTCAAATAATTTAAGGATAAAGTAAATATCAAAATTTACTGTATATTTTTGGGTTTAGTCACTACAAATAATGTTGAAATTTATGGAGAAAAATTTGATGATGATACAAAGAAATTAAAAAAAAAAATTATAGGAGATCTAAGAAAGTCTAAAACAATTGAAGTTTACAAAAATGACAGCCATCTATGTTTGAAGCTTGCCTATGATAATATTTTTGAAAAATGGAATAAGGCTGATAGTCTGCTGCACGACAAATTAGTTATCTGTTTTGCTGAACTGCTGAAATTACCTCTTTGAGTAGTCTAAGTTTTAAAAGCCTTGCATAATTGCCTGCACTTAGCATTCACTCTCACGCTCTTTTAGTCCAGATAGCTTAAGATAATGAAGTACTTCACTTGTATGGCGCTTTATATGTTGTGCTTTTAATAATATTTGCTTTTAGCACATGCTGATGTTAAGTTCCTGGATTCAAAATTTGCTAGTATCACTTTTAGCATTGATATCCAAAATTCTTAAAAAAGGAAAAAAGAAAGAGGAAAAAAAAAAAACAATGCTTCTAGATACTTGAAAATGGCTTCTGCAATGCTTCTAGATACTTGAAAATGAAAATGGCTTCTGAAACTTTTTTGAGCATAGATTTACGATCTTTCAATTTTTTTATTTTTGATATGTATTTATGCGATTTGTTATGAAAAGGATATTGCAAGAACAATAATGAATTGGGCAAGCTTGTGAGTAGTATTTCCCTTGTTTAGCTTAATAGTTACTGTATTTGTTTATAATCTATTTTATAGATCAGGTTTATGTAGCATTTATTTTGCAACTTCATTTTTCCTGATATTATCCTAATATGAAGTTAGTACGGAAATAGAGATTTGATTTGACACACCTGGGTTTGACATATCTTGACAAGTATCTGTTTCTAGCTGTATAATTATAAACTGTTTAATGATTATGTAATTCATGTTTTATTTTTTGCTTATAGAATTTTAGGCATATAGAAATACTGGTAAATTCATCCAAACTTTAGCTATAGTAATGGTTCTTATATTCACGTGCATGTTAAGTTAGGTAGCTAGAAAGCATGTAAATAATAATCGACAAAATTCCAATAAAATTATTATTATACCATTATTTATGCAAACTAAAACTTTGCTGATATCATTTTTGATTTTTTTAAAATAAAACAAAATGATGGATACTAGTGTATAACTACTTTTTTTCATTAGCTGACATTTTTTGGCATTGTGTGGCATGGTTTTGGAAGCAATGAGTTGGTTGTACTGTGGTAAACTAAGGGTCTATTTGGAATAACTGCTGCTGTTTGAAGAAACAACTATGAAACTGAAAAAAAAAAAACAGTTTTTAAAAATGCTGCAACAAAAAAAAAAACAGTTTTTCAAAAAGCTGCAGTGGCTATTAAAAATTTATTTTATTTTCAAAAAGTCAGAACGCAACTTTCTAGCAGCCACCACACTTTAACAGCTCAGGTTGAAAAGACAGCTTTTTATCACAAAAAATTTTGAAAATGATAAAGATAGCATGAGGTTTTATAATATTTTTAAATTTTTGTAGATAAGATAGATTATAAGTTAGATGAATTTTTTTAAAATATATTATATTTAATTTTAAAAACTAATTTTCGTAAACATGAGGTTTTATAATATATATTAAATTTATGAAGTTAAATTATATTCTTGCATAAATTGTGCTGTAATATTTTTCATAAAGAATAATGAAAACAATATATTTTTTATATTAATAATTAATTAAATATAAAACTGTGCCCATGATGTGTAGTGTCCATTTTTTTTTCAATTATGTCGTGTCCTTTGTTTTAAAATTATGTCGTGTCCCTTATCGTGTCGCGTCTGTGCCCCGTGTCCGTGTCCGTGCTGCATAGGTATGTGTTTTTTCTCTGAAGCTAATATGGTTTTTAACCACATTATTCTCTGTTAAATTTCTATCAGATTTATCCTTCATACTTCTCATTTTGAATCTTTTGGTCACCAATCACTTGTTACCAACTACAAAATTTTTTTTTATTTCATGTGAATTTGTATTTGGGTTAGCAGGTCCATAAAGATTGAATGGCTTAACATTAGTCCATTACTACCCTTCCATGTAGGGATATACCTTGGTTTTACGGTTTAAAAATGTACCTTGTATTTTTGCTATTTGGAAGCTATAATATGTGGTGTTACTTTTATGGAAGTCTCAAAAACTTCAACAACTTGGCAATACATGTTAATTTTTTTTTAATAAAAGGGTGAAGATTTTGTCATTTCATATCTATTTCAATGTGCTAGCTTCTTTTGTTTGAAAGGGAATTGTTCATCATGATTGCACATCTATCCCCCTCTTTAGCATTTTCTCTCTCAGTGAAAAATCTTGAATATTGCTGCATGCTACAAAATTTAGAACGGAAGAGTGAGATTTTTGTGTTTTCACTTTACAAATGAATCTCATGCATAAATAGATAAAATCAAAAAACACACGTAACATGAGAATTTTTACATGGCAAACTCGGGAAGCGAAAATATAAAAAATGTAGCCTGACCCAAAGGAAATGATTCTTCTATAACAAATTATAAAGTTATCTCCTTCCTCTTCATTGAAGAAGATGGGGTTACAAAATGATATGCCGAAACTTAATCTCCTATACTTGTAAAGAGTTAAAAGTGGTGAAAGATGAAGATAATGATTAGATGATGATGTTTGGATAACACTACTTGGGTGATGTCAAATGATGGCCATTCGACAAGTACAATTGGCTACTAAGGGTACAGCTAGAATTCTTGGAAGTCTTTTAGCTCTCCGCCAACTTAATGCCCTCATTTATATAAGCATTATGTGGTTATTTTATAGTCTTTTGGAAGACATTTTAGTAAATTTAGCAAAAATCGTAAAAAAATTTCTTCAACGGTATGTGTTAATTTTTTAATCATTTAAGTGCTCTAATGACTTCAAAATCAAATGATCTTAAGCTCAATGGATTTTTCTTGTTGAGATGCTCGATGTGACTACAAGCATACCAAATTGTAGATCATTTGACCATTTAATAAATGTTTTGATAATTTTGCTCTGCATGCTTTATTTGGGAATTGGGCTGATTTTTGTTGATAGGTTAATCTTGTTTATCATTCAACCTGACTATATATTTGTTGAAATTGAAGCTCAAATGATCTTGATTTTAATTAAAGAAATTTACATACAAAATGCATCGAGATTCATTATGATCAAGTGAATTTTGTGACGACATTTCGACTGTATTATTTAATATGCCACATATATACTCACAACCATGAATTAACCATAGTTACATCAGTTGAATATTCCATGATGATGGCTATATTTGTCTTGCTTAATGTAGCTTCATGAGTGTAGAACTTGTAACTCGTGACAAAATTGTGAATCTGATTTGTTCGTTTCTTTTTTCTTTAGAGGATGCACAACTTACTCCTGTATTGCGCCTTGGTGCTGGAGCATGTGCTGGGATTATTGCTATGTCTGCCACTTATCCGATGGACATGGTCAGAGGCAGGATCACAGTCCAGGTGTTTCTTCATTTTGTAATCAATTTGTTTTGGTTGGTTTAGATTCTATTGAGTTTTTTTATATTGCATTTATGATTTTTTATTAGGTGAATTAGGCCCTCTATATTATTTTTAGTTGATATTGGCTTTTGTGCATCAGACTGAGAAATCCCCTTACCACTATCGGGGGATGTTCCATGCATTAGGAACAGTCTATAAGGAAGAGGGCTTCCGAGCACTGTACAAGGGCTGGCTTCCGTCTGTCATAGGAGTTGTAAGCTCTCTCCACCATGTGAAATTCCTCAGTTTTTCCTGTTCTTTAATATACTCTATTATGAACAATGCTTTTAACTTGTTTTTGGTATCTCGTTAATTTGTGCTGGATAAGTTTTTCATGCTGGCTAAATCTCTTCAATCAATGTTGCAGAGAAGAGTCTCTAAATTTATTTAACAATAAACATAAGAAGGAAAACATTACCTTCACCAGCTCACTATCCAATAAAAATATTTCACCGAATAACATTTGATGTAATTATTTGTTTAGATGCTATGGGGTTGTTTTCTTGTGGCATGAATAGAAAATAATAATTTCAGTGTTCTAGTTTTCCATTCCAACTACACTACACTTATTTTACCTAAGGTATGATAATCCTATTTGATGCTTAAACTTTTACTATTACAGATTCCATATGTCGGTCTCAACTTCGCTGTATATGAATCTCTGAAGGAATGGTTAGTTGCTTCTAAGCCATTTGGCCTTGCTGATGATGAAGAGCTTGGTGTGGTTACAAAGCTCGCATGTGGAGCTGCTGCTGGAACAGTTGGCCAAACTGTAGCTTACCCACTGGATGTCATTCGCAGAAGAATGCAGATGGTGGGTTGGAAGGATGCTGCTTATATTGTAAGAGGTGATGGAAGGACTAAAGGACCACTGGAATACTCTGGAATGATTGATGCTTTCAGGAAAACAGTTCGCCACGAGGGCTTCAAAGCTCTGTACAAGGGCCTCGTTCCAAACTCTGTGAAGGTTAGTACTCCATTCCCGTAGGAGATAAGTGCCTTTTTTTTAAAAAAATAAGATTATAGCTAATTAGAACATTTTGTTATATTATTGAAATTTGGTTCCTCTTTTTGACGGATATCAGGTGGTGCCATCAATTGCTATAGCCTTCGTGACATATGAGGTCGTGAAGGATGTTCTTGGTGTTGAAATGAGAATTTCAGACTGAGATTGGGGTTGTGTATTAACTGCTACTACGTTAAAAGACGGGAGTCTCTTATTTTTGTTGGCGGATGACTCTTTGGGGCTAAGGTGGAGTTGTCGTCTTTCAAATAGCTTTGTTGATATCACAATTTATTGTAATTAGATATCCAGAGCTTCAAATTTTCCATCTTTGACCTGAAGAAATAAATATTAAATTCTGTAGAATGCAGATAAGGGTGAATTTATGTACATTCCTCACATCCCTAACTCTGTTTATTCTGTTTTTTATATGTTGCTGTTTCATGCCAATTATATATTAGGATTGCTGCTGCTGCTGCATGACAATGCCCGGATGTGAGATCCGACTTGAAATCTAATACTTCTTTTTGTGCAAATTACGGGTAGTTTTCATTCAAATGAATTGGATTGAATGTAATGTTAAAATTTCATATTCGACGTTTGGTTTCAATATAATTTTAGTTGTGTTTGGTTCATTTTGGAGGTACGAGTGCTTTTTTTTTTTTTGATAATTTTCTATTCAATTATGTAAAAATGAAGTAGACAATTCCAACTGTATTTTATTCTGAGAATTAGCTTGAATACAATTTCTCATTAACTAAAAACATATTAAATACAAATTTATCTACAAAATTAGTGGGTAAAAATTAATTTCAGATATCATTTTTGTCATCTTCATTTCCTCTTTTAATTGCTTCCAACAAAACAGAGCATTTTTTTTCTGTTATTTACGCTGGTGAGAGGATGAATATTTTTTATTTTATTTTATTGTGTAATTTCATACTATATTTCTCAATTCCCGACTCATTAGTGTTTTAAAAATTCTCTTTGAATTCCCACACGCCAATTCTTAACTTGCAAATATAAACAACTGCACCCTAAATGTCTAAAACTTGCAGCCTTACTCTCTTTCCCCAAAGCTCCCTTAAATCATTATTAATGATAAACTCCAAAACAGATGCCATTCGTTCCAAATTTGATCAAGTGCATATGATAGTTTTTTAAGTGTTTTGATGATCACAAAGATAGTTTCGTTGAGACAATTTAATTGGCTTATTTTTGTATGAAATTTAAGTATAGAGTAACATAAGTCTATACTAAAACCGCATCAAATTAAATGGTAGGTATAATCAAAATTTTGGATTATTCAAGGGAAAATGAGAAATTTTGATCTTAATAAATATGATTGGATGATTGAAATACAATGGAATTAAAAGGTAGAAATTCACTCACCACCTTTGCACAATACTAACAATATCATAATTCTTCTAATTTTCATGACTTGGAAGTTAATTAAGATCAAATGATTCTTAAGTGATGGGTGCAATAGAAAGGATGATAATTTACTATTCTTGAGCCTAAGATTGATGATGACGTGATTTTTTAATAAGAATACATATCACTTAAATCAAAATTTTGAAAATCACCATTCCACTTATCATGATTGTTAAAGTTATCATGATTGTTAAAGGCTTTAGTGTGACATAGGCTTGATGTCTACACTCAATTGATCGGATTTAGAAGATAACATGATTGTAAATTAACATCTTTAAACACTACAAGTCTGACCTTAATTGCGGGCACCACTATCTTAAATGACTTAAACTTGCCTTAGGGGCACCCACTCACATAATTTTTAAAAGAAACATCAATTGGTTAATTGGGTATCCTATCCTTGATTAATGAAACGATATGATAAGTTCAAAATGAACTCGGAATATTTCAAAAAATCTTCAAAGTGGTCGAAGGTCATGCCTCAAGCATTTTGAAATCTATTGGACATTCTGAAGTGCAAATTGTACTTGTTATATTTTTTTTCTAAAACCATGCGCTAGGATCTTTCTGAGATTCAATAAAGTCATAACTTGCGGTTTGGTAGCTAAGCCTTCATCTACTCCTGGAATTTAAATTTCCTGCAAAATTATATACATGCTTTGCAAGTACTAACCTTTCAGGTGGAGGAACGAGAAGAATCGATAGATATGCTTTTAAATTATTGCATTTATCTTTTTGTACTTCTTGCCTCGAGCTTGCATGTTAAACAATGATGTTACCCGGCATAAAAACCAAAACTACTAGGATAGCTGTAAAACTAAAACAAAAACTAAAAATCAAATAAGATAAAATTTACCACCATAATATTCAAAATATAAGACAACTCAAAATTAAATCACAAACATCACAAAAAAAAATTGCAACTAAACTAAAACGTCTTTATCAGATGATCGGGAATCCCTAGGAGGAGGTAACCTACGGTTGCTAACAAGATTTCCTATGGTCTAAATGAAAGTATGGAACTCATTAAGTTGAGTTTAGTAAATTCATTTAGATTAAATAGTGGTACCGGAATGAGGGAACCGTGGAATCCTAACCGGTGTCACTCTAATCAACTTTGATATGCCCCATAATATTTAATAACGATGACCCTTAGCGACATCTGATTTGACATTATAACTTGACACAGTAGAAAACCTAAACTTGCTGCAATGAGAAGCTTGGAGCGAGCATTGTGGGCAGCACGACAATCTTCAACAGCAGAACCTGTCTACATCACCTAAACAATTCTTTCGTTAGAACTAAATAACTAAGCTATAGGACTTCGAGGTGGTTTGCTTATGCATCATAACTTCTCAACTTTTCTTTTGGCTTTTGTATAGCTCTGCTATACAATTTAAGCCCTAATTTGTCCTAGGATTTCGAGTTTATCGTTCGTCACAGCCTAAATCCTCACATCTTTCAGGCTATTTGTGTGATCGTTTCACACAAGTATAAGCCCTAATTAATAAAATTTGTAGGATGAATTAATAAAATTTGTCTAATTAATAAAATTTGTAGGATGAAACATTTAAATATTTCTTCTCAAAAGTGAATCCAAACTATAGGGTAGTTTGGGTAGTCACCGAGGTTCGCCTTTGGGTCTGTGACATCCCTTAGGTCTTTCTCCTTTGGATTCTACAATAAATGTTCCAAATTTAATCCATTTCCCTTTCACACCTCTTTGTCCGATCTCATTAAAAAATTTTATCCTTTTGACCTCTTTAAAGATTATATTCCCAGATTTTTATCGAAAGTTTTCTTAGGTGACTTCGGTTATCTAAGATGTAATTAACTATAGAAGCTTGTCCTTCTAGGAAGCTTTTTTGAACCCAGCTTAATATAAACCCTATTTAATTCTCTATATTAAATAGGGGAACTTGTCAGCTTATAAATAAAATGGTTTTCGTAGAACAAACTGATACCATATATTTCTTATCGAGCCTCATCCTCAAGTCTTGTGTTTATCTTTCGGGATAAATACATGACTTGAGGTGTAGTGCACTTTCATTTAAACTGTGAAAGATTTGAGATCAGTTTGATTTCATATTTTCCTAAACTGTTATAGACACCTTCTGGTGACTCTGTTGAGGAAAAGCTTCTCTCTCCATGTTAATCAAGAAATATTATCTTCATACATCGGTAATGTATTCATGTCTCTCATAAATCAGATTACCCTTCTTACGTTGGCATGCTTTACCCATTTATGTCTTGGGTAAGTACAGTCAACTCTTTTGGACTTCAAGACCGTCTGTTCAATCACCTTTGAACAGGATGGTTCAGGAGGCCATTAAGGACTTTTTAATCTTAGTGTGGGGTCGGATCCCCAATAGGTGGGTTGGTGGACGTGGACTAGTTTGACCTAAGCATTGTGCGCTATAAAGTTGGTCCCGCACTGGGTCCTGAACTTCACTTTTTCCCTTTCGAGTTTGCTTTGCTATTTTGCAAATTAAATCACATTGTGTTATGCTGCGCTTGCTCTTTAATTTTCCTTATATTAATTACATCTTTCTACTTTCAAACTATTTTCACTAAAATCTTGAAATCTCCACAAATTAAATAAGGACTTACCCGGTCTACAAATCGACCATTGTTAATTTGTAGCGCTCCCACTAAGATTACGAGGTATTGACCAAATAACTAACTATAGAGGTTTCTTTTTCTTAAGTTGTTGCAATGACATTCCCAACACTCACTTTCTCGTGCAACCTGCTGACGAGCCGCAGTGCTCGCATTGTTACCCCCACCATTAAGTTTGGAGCAGAATTTGATGAACTCGAGGTTATACCCGGGAAAGCCCCGTTCGTCGTGATGAAAGTTGCCGCTCAATAGGTTCAAGAACAGTCTACTGAGTTTAACCTAAACTGCCCTTAGGATTTTCCTTCTTACAAGAAAGTCAAGACTACTGCCACCATGACACCTACTAAGCATGTTGTTCCCGTTTCTGCTAAGGGAAAAGAAATTATGATCATCGAATACCTGACTGAAGGATTGGTTGTCCAGCCGTTAGTATTTGAAATTGGATCAAGTTTGAGGACCATAAAATTAACCCGAACCCAAAGGAGAAACCACAACCAGAAAGTTTGGAGGGCTGCTAAAGCCTAGATATCTAAGGAACTACTTGTTGATGACGGTCCTCATCAGGAGGAGTCAGAATTACTGGAGATCTACCCACTTCTACAAGGAAGTAGGTTCCATCCCTTAATGGATACTAATGAGTACAAAAGTATCCAGAAGATCGCTGCTACTTTAGCATCACCTCATGGACAAGGTGGGGAGAGGAAGAAGCCTGCTCTTATCACCTGAGTCAGTACAGTTTTCCAGAGACTAGATGCCAAAGAAGGTTGTTCAGTTGGTGAGTTACTCAAACGAGTGGGATGTGCATTATCCCCTCACATGAAGATAGAAATTCTAAGAGACGTCAGATCTACCAGACGTTCTCAGAAATCAACTGAAGCTTTGCCTGCTCGCATTCCCGTCTAGTTCTGCTTTGGAAGCAAAGTTAATACCACCATTGTTGCTACCGATTCTACTATCACTAGACCCATAGGCCGTCAACCAGTTAAGTCGTGTATGGGTCTGAGAATTCTACCAATTACCAGTCACAAGGATGGAATTAACATTTTGAAGAAAAAGAAGAAGAGATCACCTAGTATTGTATTTTGTCTGCACCATGGGGAGCATACTTTTCTTCGACATGTTGTTGTTCCTGCTGGGAAACTCCGGCTCAAGACTCCGTCTCAAGACATCACCGTCAAAGAAAAAGGTGTGAGGTGGGTACCCAAGTTCTTCGTACTGATACGGTCCAGTAAACCCAAAGGGCAGGATCATGGAATGAAGCAAGGGTCCAAAGTATCCAGCATTGTCGCAACAATTGCTAGTTAGATGGATGAGCAAGTAGAGGCTGTCCAACAAAGTCCTCTAGATCTCAAGGTGCTACAATAATCAATAATTGAAGGAAATGTTGAAAAGATAAGGGTCGAGATTTCTAAGTTGACCTGAGAACATGGAGTTTCCATTGATGATGATGAAGATTTTGACTTCAATGATTACCTCGAGGAAA